ATAGAATCATAGAATCATAGAATCATAGAATCAAAGAGTTGGAAGAGACCTCATGGGCCATCCAGTCCAACCCCCTGCCAAGAAGCAGGAATATTGCATTCAAATCACCGCTGACAGATGGCCATCCAGCCTCTGTTTAAAAGCTTCCAAAGAAGGAGCCTCCACCACACTCCGGGGCAGAGAGTTCCACTGCTGAACGGCTCTCACAGTCAGGAAGTTCTTCCTCATGTTCAGATGGAATCTCCTCTTATAGTTTGAAGCCATTGCTTCGCATCCTCTCCAAGGAAGCAGAAAACAAGCTTGCTCCCCCTCCCTGTGGCTTCCTCTCACATATTTATACATGGCTATCATATCCCCTCTCAGCCTTCTCTTCTTCAGGCTAAACATGCCCAGCTCCTTAAGCCGCTCCTCATAGGGCTTGTTCTCCAGATCCTATTACCGTACCTCCTCCTCTGCTTCGCAGATCTCGCTCCTGAAGACTGCAGTGAAGTGGTGCAGGTGTGCATGTGCGAGATCTGAGAGGCAGAGAAGGAGGGACAGTAATAGGAAAATTACCATATTGAAATCAAATCTGATGCTTTTAAAAAATTTATTTGCTGAGCATTGGAAGAGGGGTAGTCTTATACGGTGAGTATATCCCAAACTCTATATTTCAACTGGAAAAGTTGGGGGTTGTCTTATACGCCCAGTCGTCTTATATGCTGGACTATATGGTAAATGATCCAACTGGCAGCATAGCATAGAAACCTCAGAAGATTGCAACATCTTCTTTAACACTGTACTTTTTGATTGCAGGTTTGAGCATAGATTCATTCCCAATTTACATGAAAAATTAATAATATCTAGCAACCCCCTGCCAAGAAGCAGGAATATTGCATTCAAATCACCCCCGACAGATGGCCATCCAGCCTCTGTTTAAAAGCTTCCAAAGAAGGAGCCTCCACCACGCTCCGGGGCAGAGAGTTCCACTGCTGAACGGCTCTCACAGTCAGGAAGTTCTTCCTCATGTTCAGATGGAATCTCCTCTCTTGTAGTTTGAAGCCATTGTTCTGCGTCCTAGTCTCCAAGGAAGCAGAAAACAAGCTTGCTCCCTCCTCCCTGTGGCTTCCTCTCACATATTTATACATGGCTATCATATCTCCTCTCAGCCTTCTCTTCTTCAGGCTAAACATGGCTTTGAGGTTGGGAAAAGGTTAAAGGTCATCTTAACATCAGATATCATATCCACAAGCCTTGTATCTAAATCCAGTCTCCACTCTCCTGATTAAACTGAGCCAACTTCAACTTTCTAGATGTTACCGTATCACAACTTCCATCAGCTCTACTCATGATGTCTAATGATGAGGAATACAGGACTTGTAGTCCGGTATCTGGAGGGCCACATAAAATGATAAGGTGGACCAAATTCATGTCATGGGTCTTCGGTTTGACAGATGACACTCTCGCCCTATTCACAGACACCTTCCAATGCCTGAGCACATCTTCTACAACCACCACCTACTTCAGGGGTCCTCAAACTTTTGAAACAGAGGGCCAGGTGACAGTCCCTCAAACTGTTGGAGGGCTGGATTATAATTTGAAAAAAACATGAATGAATTCCTATGAACACTGCACATATCTTATTTGTTGTGCAAAAAACACTTAAAAACAATACAATAATTAAAATGAACAATTTTAAGAAATATAAACTTATTAGTATTTCAATGGGAAGTATGGGCCTGCTTTTGGCTGATAAGATTGTGGCTGTTGTTGTGTGTTTTCAAGTCGTTTCAGTCTTAGGTTGATCTTGAGCAAGGGCTGGGTAAATGACCTTGGAGGGCCATATCCGGCCCTCGGGCCTTAGTTTGAGGACCCCTGACCTACTTCCATTTTTCTTTATCCTAGACAGGATATCATCAATATAGCAATGTGCTCATTGTAAGGGTCTGTCCTGCAGGCACTATATCATTTTACAGCATATGTGTGTGTGTATGTGTGCGTGTGTGTATTTGTATTTGCATTTCTCAGCCCAAAGGTGACTCAGGGCAGTTTACAGTCGGCAACAATTCAATGCCCCAACAGAAATAAAAATACAATTAAAAACATTTAGCATACATATAAAAACCATATAAAACTAATAAAAACATAAATAATCAGTGTCTCCTTAATAAAATCATTTTCCAGTCGCATTGTCCAGTTGTTCCATAGTTCCGTATTAATAATAATAATAACAACACTTTATTTGTACCCCGCCACCATCTCCCCAAGGGACTCGGTACAGCTTACATGAGGCCGAGCCCACAATACAACAATACAAGCAATAACAACAGTACAAGCAAATTAAAATAACACATAGACAATAAAATATATAATATCAATAAGACAGCACACATTAAACAGTGGGAAGGCCAAATGTAAAATTAAAATTGGAAGTAATGCAGGGACATGGACGAGAAGGTGATAGTGGCGTTTGTGGAAGGGCATACAAGCAGACCTAAAAAATGTAAAGTGCTTTGGAGGACAAAGTGCTATGGAATCAATTATTCCGGGAAGCCACACTGGAACAACCACGTCTTCAAGCTCCTCCTAAAGACTGCCAAAGTTGGGCCTGTCTGATGTCTTTAGGAAGTGAGTTCCAGAGTCGAGGGGCCACCACCGAAAAGGCCCTCTCTCTCGTCCCCACCAATCGTGCCTGTGATGCTGGTGGGATCGAGAGCAGGGCCTCTCCGGATGACCGAAGGGATCGTGTGGGTTCAAATACAGAGATGCGGTCACGCAGGAAGGCGGGTCCCACCTGTTACGCTGCATTTGCAAAGCTTACTCGAAGAGCCAGGTTTTGACCTTTTTATGAAATGTTATGAGGGAGGGGGCCGATCTAATATCACTAGAGAGGGTGTTCCATAGCCGAGGGGCCACCACTGAGAAGGCCCTGTCTCTCATCCCTGCCAGACACATCTGCAAAGATGACGGGACTGAGAGCAGGGCCTCCTTAGACGATCTTAGAGTTCTAGATGATTCATAAGGAGAGATGTGTTCGGACAGGTAATCTATATAACATTCAACTGTCTCAATGTGCTCTCACTTGAAAATATCCTATATTACTAGTCCCCATTCTGGAAAATGCTGAATTGGTACTGCACAGTCTAAAGTTGCAAATATCTATTAAAGACAAAAAGCAAAGCTTAGCTATCTTTACTCAAGTGACTGTTAAACTACACTTATCACAATATTTTTCTCTCATTCGTCATGTCATTTTGCTGTGTGAGCAGGTAAACTTTTGAGAAAGGAGGAAATTCCCCAGTGGGTTGTTGTAGGTTTTTTCGGGCTATATGGCCATGGTCTAGAGGCATTCTCTCCTGACGTTTCACCTGCATCTATGGCAATCATCCTCAGAGGTAGTGAGGTCTGTTTGAACTAGGGGAAAGGGTTTATATATCTGTGGAATGACCAGGGTGGGACAAAGGACTCTTGTCTGCTAGAGCTAGGTATGAATGTTTCAACTGACCACCTTGATTAGCATATAATGGCCTGACAGTGCTTGGAGAAAACTTTTGTTGAGAGGTGATTAGATGTCCTTGTTTGTTTCCTCTCTGTTGTTGTGCTGTTGTAATTTTAGAGTTTTTTTTTAATACTGGTAGCCACATTTTGTTCATTTTCATGGTTTCCTCTTTTCTGTTGAAATTGTCCACATGCTTGTGGATTTCAGTGGCTTCTCTGTGTAGTCTGACATGGTGGTTGTGAGAGTGGTCCAGCATTTCTGTCTTCCCAAATAAAATGCTGTGTCCAGGTTGGTTCATCAGGTACTCTGCTATGACTGATTTCTCCTAGTTTCAACAGACCTCACTACCTCTGAGGATGCTTGCCATAGATGCAGGCGAAACATCAGGAGAGAATGCCTCTAGACCATGGCCATATAGCCCGAAAAAACCTACAAGAACCCAGTCATTCCGGCCATGAAAGCCTTCCTATTTATAGCAGGGAGAAACAGGTCAACAAATTTCTTATTTATTTATGTATTTATTTCGGGTTCTTTTACCCCGCCCTTCTCACCCAGAAGGGGACTCAGGGCGGCTTACAAAAGCAAAGGCACAATTTGATGCCTGCATCACAGAACAATCAAAACACAAAATTACATCAAATTCACAGTTAACAACAATTCATGCATTATACCAATAAAATCAATAAAATCAATAAAACCAATACAAACCCAATTCCTCCTCCTACATGGTCAGCGTTCGCCATCTCATAGTTCAAATTTTCAATTCCACTTCGTCCATCCTGTTGGTCTTACTCGTCTGATTGTCTTATTTAATTGCCAGATTAAGGCCTGGTCCCATAACCACGTCTTCACCCTCCTCCTGAAGGAGAGGAGGGATGATGATGTCCTGATTTCCCCCGGGAGTGAGTTCCACAGGTGAGGGGCCACCACTGAGAAAGCCCTGCTCCTCGTCCCCACCAGCCTCACTTGTGACAGTGGTGGGGTCGAGAGCAGGGCCTCCCCAGATGATCTAAAACTCCGGGGTGGGACGTAGAGGGAGATACGTTCGGATAGATACACTGGACTGGAACCGTACAGGGTTTTGTAGGTCAAAACCAGCACCTTGAATTGTGCTCGGAACTGAACCGGCCGCCAGTGGAGCTGGCACAGCAGGGGGATGGTCGCTCCGGTGAGCAGTCTGGCTGCCGCTCGCTGGACTAGTTGAAGTTACCGAACAGTCTTCAAGGGCAACCCCACGTAGAGAGCGTTGCAGTAGTCAACGCTCTCTATGTTATATTGGGGGGGGGGGAACAGTGGGGTGAGGTGGACAGAGGGTTAGACTTGAATACAGATTGGAAAGAACCACACTTAATTTCTATTAACACAAGGAACTCACTAAATGGCTAGAAGCCAGTCATTAACTCTCAAGCTAAGCTATTTGCAGGACAAAATGGTCTGAAAACCAAACACTAAGAGCAATGGTTTATGAATCTGGGTATGTTTTGGTCAACCCCAAGTCTGATAGTCTCATTTTCTTTCTTACCTCTGAAAGAAAGTTGAATTTTTGCAGGAAATATTTCCAGTCGATGCAGTGTTCACCACGGAGTCGCTGTAGTTTGAGGAGATGGTTGAATTGTTTTTCAGAGAGAGTGAAACAGAAGTGGTGAAGGACCTGCCGGAAATCCAAGGTGGAAATTGCCCCTGTACGCTCCTTGTCAAAAGCTGAAAAGGCCTGCAAGTAGCAGAAAAGAACCGTGGTTATGAATAGCTGGCATCTGAGAACACGATTTCTCTTTAGCAAAGCGACTGCTGAGTGACAGAGATAAATGCAGAGGCAATGCACATCCTTCTGCTGCCTCAAGTATTCTACAAATGAAACAGTGCTAAGACATTCCAAAGGAATTCTTGTTCAAGCATTTTGTTAACCGAACTTCTGTTCTAAGAGCTTCCTCTCCTCTAGCTGAATTCATTATCTAGAGTGTCTGTTTACAATATGTCTCCACAGCAACCAAAGGCAAATGAAACCTGAGTGTGAATGATGGTTGGGAGCCTGGCTGGGATGACAAAAGTATCGGCCAGCACGTCAATGACTTAGAAATAGTTTTCTAAGATCTACACAGACACTCACTGGAACATCTCAGCAAGAGAGAGTCCAAAAGTGGCAGACTCAAACCCAAAACCTCAACCAATGGCTATTTATTTATTTATTTATTTATTTATTTATTTATTGTGTCATCCGCAACCAGAACATTGTATTACATTTCTAACAGAACAAAACAAACAGATTAAAAAAACAACACAAATTTTGCAAACTTGGTAGTTGATTAAATGTCCTTTGACCAGTATCTGGCCACTTGGAGTGCCTCTGGTGTTGCTGCAAGAAGGTCCTCCATTGTGCATATGGCAGGGCTCAGGTTGCATTGCAGCAGGTGGTCTGTGGTTTGCTCTTCTCCACACTCGCATGTCGTGGATTCACTTTGTAGCCCCATTTCTTAAGATTGGCTCTGCATCTCGTGGTACCAGAGCGCAGTCTGTTCAGCGCCTTCCAAGTCGCCCAGTCTTCTGTGTGCCCAGGGGGAGTCTCTCATCTGGTATCACCCACGGATTGAGGTGCTGGGTTTGAGCCTGCCACTTTTGAACTCTCGCTTGCTGAGGTGTTCCAGCGAATATCTCTGTAGATCTAAGAAAACTATTTCTTGATTTAAGTCGTTGACGTGCTGGCTGATACCCAAACAAGGGATGAACTGGAGATGTCTCTGCCATGGTCCTTTCACTATTGGCTGAACTTACCGGCGGATGTCAGGTGGTGCAATACCGGCTAAGCAGTGTAATTTCTCCAGTGGTGTAGGGCGCAGACACCCCGTGATAATGCGGCATGTCTCATTAAGAGCCACATCCACTGTTTTAGTGTGGTGAGATGTGTTCCACACTGGGCATGCGTACTCAGCAGCAGAGTAGCATAGCGCAAGGGCAGATGTCTTCACTGTATCTGGTTGTGATCCCCAGGTTGTGCCAGTCAGCTTTGATATTGTTTCTAGCGCCCACTTTTTGCTTGATGTTCAGGCAGTGCTTCTTGTAGGTCAGAGAACGGTCCAGAGTGACTCCCAGGTATTTGGGTGCGCTGCAATGCTCCAGTGGGATTCCTTCCCAGGTAATCCTCAGAGCTCGGGATGCTTGTCTGTTCTTAAGAAACCCAGAATCTCAATAAATGGCTGATACCAAATGAGAGACTCCCCCCTGGGCACACAGAAAACTCAGTGACTTGGAAGGCACTGAACAGACTGCGCTCTGGCACCACGAGATGCAGAGCCAATCTTAAGAAATGGGGCTACAAAGTGGAATCCACGACATGCGAGTGTGGAGAAGAGCAAACCACTGACCACCTGCTGCAATGCAACCTGAGCCCTGCCACATGCACAATGGAGGACCTCTTTGCGGCAACACCAGAGGCACTCCAAGTGGCCAGATACTGGTCAAAGGACATTTAATCAACTACCAAGTTTGCAAAATTTGTGTTTTTTTTTAATCTGTTTGTTTGTTTTGTTCTGTTAGAAATGTAATACAATGTTGCGGATGACACGATAAATAAATAAATAAATAGCCATTGGTTGAGGTTTTGGTTGAGGTTTCCGGACCCAAAGCGGGCCAGGCAAGGGAGCAAGTGCGGCAAGTGTAGTTACTGGGATGTATAGTTCACCTACAATCAAAGAGCATTCTGAACTCCACCAATGATGGAATTGAACCAAATATGGCACACAGAACTCCCACGACAAACAGAAAATATATATCAATGATTGGTTGGGGGGGGGGGGGCGCCAAAATACTGTTTGCTTACCGTTGAAAATTACCTAGGGCCACCTCTGATTAGTGCATGTGCATAGACATACACGCTGATAAATTAAGAAATGCATTGTCTCTCTCAGTCCCCTCCTCCCTCAGTGATAGTTTGTTGAGACATCAACTCTCTTTGGCTGAGAAGGTTAAAGATAACACCAGAGATCATAAACAAGGGTAGCAATAGGCTTCCTGACCACACTATGGACCCTTTTCGGAAGGGTTGATTCCTCAAACCAGGCAAATCAGGCACCACCACTAAAGGTTCCTGAGGATACATTTTTGGGGTGCTTCTGGGGCTCTCCTTTGTCATGGATCCTGCCTCCAGTGTTGCCAAACTTCAAAGTCTGAATGTAAGGCCTATACATTATTTTCTCTACTCTGGTTATGATGACAAGCATTATGCAAGTAAATAATAACATCTGCATGGCACCTACCTTGTATAGCAAATTGGATGAATCTGTAACTATCTGTTTAATCTTTCTCATGGCTTCAACTATGCTGAGCCCCACAAAGCTGATGGGTGGTACAGGAGGCACAGTTTTCCTTTTCTGCCGTTTGAAGGCTGCGCGATCATCAATAACTCTCAGAAAATCAAAATATGAAAGCCTGTTGTCCTGTATGGTAAGTCCTAAGCTAAGAGATGCGGGTGGGGAGAAACACATAAGATTGCAGATTTCTTTCTTATTTCCAAAGTATCAGCAACTGAAGCTGCATCTCCTAATCATGTTTAGTTCTGGGATAGCTCCATTGCTACTTATAAATTGGTGAGGGCATTCCCCTTGCCAGCCAGCTGCTACGGTGCTAGGCAATAAGTGATTTTCATTTGCATATATTTAAGTTGATTATTTGTTTATTTGGTTTTCTATCTGATATATCATGAAAGCTTCTGTCGGAGAATAAATCATTAAAAAAATACCCACTGAGATAAAAGGAGGTGGAGGAGAAGGAAGAGGAGAGCATCCCAACAAATATTAAAGGCATCCATCCTAATTATTATTCCTGTCCCAGCTTAAGCACATCTACACCGAGTCAGATCACAGAAATTCACCGAGTCAGATCACAGAAAGATTTTAAAACTTCGAAGACGTAACCTAGTCGAACACTCAGGATTAGTACCAACAACTATGTAAGGATCAACAATAGGCAGTAGGGGTGTGCAAAACAGCAGACATTCATTCTGTTTTCATTCTGGATTTCGGGTGCCCCTCACTCCCCGGTTCTGTTTTTGGGAAGATGCTTCCCAAAATGGAAATGAACTCCGGATCCCGAATTATGAATCCAAATAGCCCCCTCGTGATTTCCTGATCTTCCTACAAATAGAAGGGGTGTGTGTGAAAACAGAACAAAAGCCAAACTAATTTCTGCCACGTTGCACAACCCTAATAGGCAGGCTATATCATCTATATATATATAAAAATGCTCTGTGCATAATGAGTACCTTAAAAACAAAAGAACCCATGAACGAAATCATACCAAATTTGGCAACAAAACGTCTCACAACACAAGGAGTGACCATCACTCAAAAGTTATGATTTTGTCATTTGGGAGTTGTAGTTGCTGGGATTTATAGTTCACCTATAATCAGAGAGCATTCTGAACTCCATCAACGATGGAATTGAACCAAACGTGGCACACAGAACTTCCATGACCAACAGAAAATACTGGAAGGGTTTGGTGGGCATTAAGCTTGAGTTTGGGAGTTGTAGTTCACCTCCATCCAGAGAGTACTGTGGACTCAAACAATGGTGGATCCGGACCAAACTTGGCACAAGCACTCAATACGTCCAAATATGAACACAGATGGAGTTTGGGGGAAATACACCTTGACATTTGGGAGTTGTAGTCACTGGGATTCACAGTTCACCTACAATCAAAGAGCATTCTGAACCCCACAAACGACAGAATCGGGGCAAACTTCCCACACAGAACCCCATGACCAACAGAAATACTTAAGGCCATCCAATCCAACTCCCTTCATCAGGGCAAGAAAACATAATCAAAGTCCTCCTGACAAAGAGCCATCCAGCCATAAATATAGATAGATAGATATGATTCTCTCTCACACACACAGATATAGTATCACAGATTTGAAAGGGACCCTTAAAGAAGGACAATGATATCTTGCATGTTCCAGGGTTGGCAAACCAGACACTCTCCACATCAACACTGACAAAGAAACAGCAAGAAATACTGTTTACCCACAAGCATAAAGAAATTACATATATTCAAAACCAACACTTTCTCATTACTTTATTTTCCAGATCAACAGACTGGGCCACAGCAACGCGTGGCAGGGGACAGCTAGTTTCTTATATTTAGCAAAGGGCAATTCTACAAGGGGATCTTCCTATCATCTCACATCACATCTTAATACTGTTCATCCAAGGCAGCACCAAAATACCAGATGCTGAGTGATCAGACAGATGATCCAGTGATTAATGCATGGATGGATCAGGTATAAATCTAGAAAAAATATCATATGAAAGCTGACTGGCACAACTTGGGGATCACAACCAGACACTGTGAAGACATCTGACCTTGCGCTATGCTACTCTGCTGCTGAGTATGCATGCCCAGTGTGGAACACATCTCACCATGCTAAAACAGTGGATGTGGCTCTTAATGAGACATGCCGCATTATCACGTGGTGTGCAACACCTGGCATCCGCCGGGAAGTAGCAGCCAATAGTGAAAGGACCAAGGCAGAGACATCTCCAGCTCATCCCCTGTTTGGGTATCAGCCAGCACGTCAACGACTTAAATCAAGAAATAGTTTTCTAAGATCTACAGAGACACTCGCCGGAACACCTCAGCAAGCGAGAGTCCAAAAGTGGCAGGCTCAAACCCAGAACCTCAATCAATGGCTGATACCAAATGAGAGACTCCCTCCTGGGCACACAGAAGACTGGGCAACTTGGAAGGCGCTGAACAGACTGCGCTCTGGCACCACGAGATGCAGAGCCAACCTTAAGAAATGGGGCTACAAAGTGGAATCCACGACATGCGAGTGTGGAGAAGAGCAAACCACAGACCACCTGCTGCAATGCAACCTGAGCCTTGCTACATGCACAATGGAGGACCTTCTTATAGTAACACCGGAGGCACTCCAAGTGGCCAGATACTGGTCAAAAGACATTTAATCAACTACCAAGTTTGCAAACTTTGTGTTTTGTCTGTTTGTTTGTTTTGTTAAAAATGTAATACAAATGTCTGGTTGCTCCTGACACGATAAATAAACAAGGTCTAAATCAAAGGACTGGAATTAAGACCTTCCTGGTAAGTACATTACCCTTACTACTCTCTTACTCTCTTACTTTCATGATTCTGTAGAATTATTCCTACATGACAATTCAAAGGAATTTGTGTTCAATTTAAAACAGAAAGATAAGACAATGAAAGGTCAGAAATACAAAATATTTAAGATTTAATCTTTCTCATGGCTTCATATATGCTGAGCTGCACAAAACTGATGGGTGGTTTAGGAATAACAGTGTTGGCAAAATCTGTTGCACTACAGGACAGGAAAAACCCTCTGACTTTAAACACTACAACGTTGAATGGAAAACAATCCTTTATTGAAGATAATTAAAAAGCAGTAAGGTAAAAAAAACTTAAAGAAATAGGTAAATCCAATTAGGTAGGAAGATAAGCAGGAAAAAGGTAGTCCAGCAAAGTCCATAAAAACAAAGTCAAAACTTCCCAAATAAAATGCAAGAAATTGGGAAACATGAATCCAAGGCAAGAATTTAAAAGCATAGACCAAAACCATGAAACAAAGGCACTTAAAACATGGATTTTCCAAGCAAAGTTTCCATGAACAAGGACGAGATCTTGACTTGATTCCAAACGATGCTTCATCTGACTACATATCCTGTACTTGGGACTTTTATCTTCTTGTTAGCTATGTCTCTAGCACTAAGAAATTGGTTTCGCTTTAGCTGAGAATTTCTTATCTTTTTCTCTCAGGAGCCTGGCACATCACCGAAGGCACTGTTTGGCTCTCCCGTTTTGACTGATCTCCTCCCGTCTATCTATTTGCTCATTAATTTCTGCAGCTGGGCCAGGTGCCGAACTGTTTTCATGTTCCCTATCATGGGAACTCTCTGGTAACAATTCAGAAAGCACACCATCATCCCCACACCCCTCAGGGACATTCTCATGGGAAACTACACATTGCACAGGAATCTCCTAGTCATTCTCTGTATCAGTATCACTGGCCAAACCATTGCCATCTTGAAACTCATTGACATCATTCCCCACATCCAAAGCACCCTGATCCTGAAAGACAATCATAGGCTGAGCTCCAACACTATGTTCCTTCTCCGTCACCTCCTTGAAAAGACCTGAGAGCACAAAATTGCGGCCTCATTCTAATTGCCATGGACCTTGTGAGTTCAGAAACCAGAACATTGATCCCAGAGTTTCATTGGCACCGGGATTGTGGAGCAGCTGGCTGAGTGTCAGCTGCATTAAGATCACTCTGACCAAAAGGTCATGAGTTCGAAGCCAGCCCGGGTTGGAGTGGGTTCCCAACCAATTGTGTAGCCTGTTGTCGACCTTTGCAACCCGAAAGACAGTTGCATCTGTCAAGTAGGAAAATTAGGTACCACCTTAAAGTGTGGGGAGGCTAAATTAACTAATTTATGAGGCCATAAAAAAGACTCCAGCAAAGCACTCCAGCAAAAAGGATGCGGGGAATGCGGAAGTACTTCATCAGTGTCGCAGATGGACGATGAAAGCGACAGCTCCCCTGGCGGCCAGAAAAAGTTAAATAGCCTCTGTGTATGTCTGTATATGTTGTATGTCAAAAATTGGCATTGAATGTTTGCCATATATGTGTACACTGTAATCTGCCCTGAGTCCCCTGCAGTGTGAAAAGGGCAGAATATAAATGCTGTAAATAAATAAATACATTTTGTCCTCACACTATTCTCAAATTACACTGCGGTGAGTGGAAATGATTGGGAGAAACTCTTAAAGCTGAGCCAGGGGCCAAGAGTGGAGATCTGGGCATCCACTTGTTTTTGGTATTGAAATTATTTTCACCAAAGTATCTCTTCTGTTCTGTTTTCACTGTAAATATTATTTATTTATTTATTTACTGTGCTTATAGACCGCTGTTCTCAGCCCAGGGGCGACTCACAGTGGTGTACAACATGGAGGGATAGATGCAAATTACAAGACATAATCTAACAACAACTAGTAATATCAAATAATGCATTAATGACTTTCCAAAATGACCCATTGCTTGGTAATATACCTATTTGGTGGTTGAGAAACTGTCTTCTTTTTTTTTTAAAGAAAAGCTGCATAACGCAGAGCCCCAAATATCTACTGTGAAAGCTGCCACCCCCAGAACACATTCACACCGACTGTGTTTGCATCTTGCAGCTGCAGATCACTCGAAGCCACACATTAGCCTGAGTCAAGCTGGCTCAGATGTTAGAGGCTCAGTGGAAAAGGAAATAATCAACACACTTCAGCGGAGGAATAAATTGCCAAGTTGGTATTAAAATTTTAGTAATAAAACCAAATGCATATGCTAATCTACTCCATTATTTAAGGCAGGGTGGGGGGAGAAAAGACTCCTTTCGATCTGGAAAAGACCCAGTCTGCAGAAAATTACAATGAATAGAAGTGTTTATCATCAAAAAGTCTTTGAGGAAAAGAGCAGGCGGCAAAAATTCTTATTAGAGGCTTAATTCAAGGGAACTTAATCACACAATTAATAGGTGGAGTGAAAAGATTTTGTTTAGGTTTCGCTTCCCTTTGTGAAGCCTCCTCCCCATGAAAGAGGGTTTTTTTTTTTTAGAGGGGAACGTAATTTTCCTGAATGCTACACTCTCACATAAGCTTCCTGTTAAGGTTTCTTTGGTATATAAAAAAATAAACATGTTGTTCATTGGGTTGCTGTAGGTTTTTTCGGGCTGTATGGCCATGGTCTAGAGGCAGGCATGTAGCCGGGGGGGGGGG